GTCGACCGGTCGACGCGCCATCACGTGATTGTTCGGCGTTCGTTTTCACACTGACCTTTCATAGTTCCCCTAAGAAACCCCGAGCCTAGCTGCTGGGAAAGCCCTCCCACTCCAGCATACGTCACTGCATGGGATTCCTTCCCCGGAGAGTGCAATGCGGAAAAAAAAGTCAGCGGCTCTTCACTCGACATTTATCCACAAACTGGTCCTGGATTAAGCTCCAAAGTTTTTATCAGTCAGATTCCACYGTGAAAAATGTCTGTTTTATCCCCTTTTATGAGTTTTTGGCCATTGACTATCTTTAAATCGCTGCTTCCTGGTACAACAGTCGGCTCTGGAAGCGATCGCATTTTTTTCCTTCTTTTTTTCCTTTCTTTTTTGAAGCGAGTGGTTGAAGCAAACGGAGCATAAGAGCCCCCTGGTGGCTGAAGAAAAAAATCCACGTATAAGCCGCACCGGACTATAAGCCGCATGGTTCAAAGTTCAGGAAAAAAGTCGCGGCTTATAGTCCGAAAATACGGTAGTAATTTGATCCACTCAAAAATGAGATATTTTTGTTTCAACATTAGTACATGAAAGGGTTAATTATTTTTAAAATGCCTTGGCCTGAGTGTAAAACACATCTAAACTTTAAATTTTATATGACAGATCATATTTTAACTCTCACATTTCCTTGCGCAAAGGACATGGATTTTGTGAATTTCCAACTGTCGCTGCTCACTGGAGTGTGAAGCGTTAACTAAGATTTTGGTGTAATTTAAAGCAGAATGAACCCTTCTACCAAAGGTTATGCCCACATTTTTAAAATTATTATCTATATTAATTTTATGGAGATTTTTCTGAGAGTATCATTTTTTCTGATACATCCTGTATAAGTAAGTAAAGTAAAGTAAAGTAAAGTTTTATTTATAAAGTGCCTTTTACAGAAATATATTCACAAGGTGCTGTACAATCATGAACAGTATAAAAATGGTGGAAAGAATAAAATGAAACAGAAAAACATAATTAAACATAAGCAACGAAAAATTGAAACATCAAATCAAGAAATTAATTTCTAAAATTGTAAATTAAACACAAGGTCAGTGCAGTTCAAAATATACAATAATACACAAAAACGTAATGAATGCGGGAAAGAAAAATATGGTCTAAGTTTAATAGTAAATAAAACACAGATTGTCGAGCATTCACAATGGAGGTAGGCTGGCAGTAATAGTGAAATGGTTAGCTAAACGCTTGAGTGAAAAAGTGGGTTTTTAGGAGTGTCTTGAAAGAGACAATGTTATCAAGGGAGCGCAGATTAAAAGGGAGTTCATTCCAGAGCCTGGGGGCCACAGAGGAGAAGGACCGGTCACCACGGGTCTTAAAGCGAGTGAGGCGAACCATAAGGAGATGTTGATCCTGTGAGTGGAGGTCTCGTCTGGGTACGGTCCATTTTGTTTGTCATCCAAACTATTGCCAACCCAGGGTCCATGCCAGGAAGCAGTGTTGTAGTATTGCATCCCCTCTGGTTCTCCTCTGTTACCCACCCAAAACCCCATCAAAGCTTGTGGCCCGAATTAAATAAACCAAAAATAAGCTTAAATATATCGTAAACAAGGTAAAACCCGATGCCAAAGGTGGTAAACCTCCGTCTGCCTTAGACTCGTCTGCATTGAAAGTACTGGGTGTGCAGTTTGATTTGATTTGATTTATTGATTTAACAGGAAAAGATTACTAAAAATCAAGCCTGACTCAGCACAATTGCTGTTTTACAGCAGGTTCCTGTTCTGCAGCACATAAAACACTCAGAA